GGTGGGGAGAGTGTGCGCACGTAGGTCCCCCAGCCATTCCCTGCGTTCAGCACTCAAGATCCCATTTGGGGGTGGGGGTGGGGGGTGCGGGGTGGCAGAGGCAAGAAAGGGACGCTGGTTTCTCTGAGCTCTGAATTCCCCGCATGGGGGGGGGGCTTTTCTGCACCCTCCTTGGTCACCTGCCCCCCTTTGCCCACACCAGCCCCCTCGGGAGCCTCCTCGTCTCACATGCTGAGAGTGAAGAGCAAGCCCGTGTGGCGGTTTGGGCCCCCTGCTCGGCCTTCCCCTAGCCTAGAAGAGGGGGGGGGCTTCCAGTGGCTACATGGCACACCCCGCCCTACCGGTCTCTGGGCCTGTCTCTGAGGAGTGGGGGCGCCTTCCCTGAGCAGCCGTGAGGGTGGACAGGAGTGGGGGGCAGTGCTCCCTCTAAGCTGTGGAGTCTTGTGAGCAAAGATTCTACTTGGTGAGCTCCTGGCATTAAAGTTGTGAGCGAGCGATTTGGCTGCTGCATAAATTAGTTCGTTCTGGAGCCCCATCCTTCCTGAGCTAAGACAAAAATGTGTGAGTCGGAGGCTAAAGAACTGTGAGCTAGCTCACACCAACTCAACTTAGGGGGAACATTGAGGGGGCTGGCCCCATCAGAGAGAGTGTGTGTGTGGGGGAATTAGCAGGGCTTGCTGCTGCCTCACTTTAGTCTGGCTCTCATGGGGTGTCTGTGTGGGGGGGTTGAGGCGCCTGGCATCACGCCCCCTCCCTCATCCTCCTCTCATTTACCAGCTGCCCCACCCTCTATGGCAGGGGATTCACACGTGGAACTCACTGCCACAGGAGGTGGCGGCGGCTACAAGCACAGACAGCTTCAAGAGGGAATTGGATAAACATACGGAGCAGAGGTCCATCTGTGGCTATTAGCCACAAGGTATAGATAGGGACTCTCGGTCTGGGGCAAGGGATGCTCGTTATTCTTGGTGCTGGGGGGGGGTCAACAGTGGGAGGGCTTCTAGTGTCCTGGTCCCACTGCTGGACCTCCTGAGGGCACCTGGTATTTCTGGCCACTGTGTGACACAGAGTGTTGGACTGGAGGGGCCACAGGCCTGATCCAACATTGGCTTCTCTTATGTTCTTATAAGAGGGAATCAGATAAACACATGGAACAGAGGCCCATCGGTGGCTCTTAGCCACAAGGTATAGACAGGAACTCTTAGTCTGGGGCAGGCGATGCTCTTGTCTTCTTGGTGCTTGGGAGGGGGGGCAACAGTGGGAGGGCTCCTAGTGTCCCGGCCCCACTACTGGACCTCCTGAGGGTACCTGGTATTTTTGGCCACTGTGTGACAGACAGAGCATTTTGTACTGGATGGGCCACTGGCCTGATCCAACATTGGATTCTTCGCACCCCCCAGCCTCTGGAGGGCTAACCACAGGGCATGGAGGCCGAGGCCTTCCCCTGACAAGAACCTCAGAAGAGCCCTGCTGGGTCAGACCAGTGTGGGTCCATCCAGTCCAGCATCCACAGTGGCCGGCCGCCGACCGGCTCCTCCCGAGGCCCAAGGACAGGGCATGGAGTCCGAGGCCTTCGCTTCCAGCCCTGGACCGTCTTGGATATCTGTGCAGGAGAACGTAAGAGGATTCGCTTGCCCTGCAAGAATCCGTTATTCTGGCTCGTGCTTGAGAGTCCTGCATTCCCTGGACAGCTTTGCAAGGGGGTGGGGAGCAGAACCTGACAGTCCGAAAGGGAGTCCCCCGACGGAGGGCACCCAGCTGGCTCCATGGGCAAACCCCAGCCAGAGGGCCCCAGGTTCCATCCCCACCCAGACCAGGGGTCTTGGGAAACGAGGAAGGCCTTCCCCGGGCCTGAGAGCCGCTGCCATCCTGACAGGCCTGAGGGTGGGTGGAGGGGGGACTGATGGGCCCGGCCGCTGCCATCCTGACAGGCCTGAGGGTGGGTGGAGGGGGGACTGATGGGCCCGGTTGGCTGCAAGGCAGTAAGCTGGTGGGGTTTTTGGGGGGTGGGT